AAAATTTCTTCTCTGACTTTCCCAGAAAGAACTTTGAGGAAGCAGTGCGAGTTAGCATGGGAATGAATGCAACTACCTTGGCTTTCGTTCCAGCAGAGAATCATAAGGTTGAATTTACCATTGCCTTCGTCTACCAAGTTTCGTGTATATCTGCAGAAGGAAAAACACATTCATTAATACGAAGTCTTCTGAGTAATTAGAAAACATGTTAAACATAAAGATAGATTGAAGCCCAGCAATTAAAACAATGTCCCTGATAGATGAAGTATGTGTAGTTGTAAAGAAAAGAAAAAGAAGAAAAAAACAACAACTGTAAGCTTATAGTAGCAACAAACGTCTGCAATAGATTTCTTCTGTCTCTCGACCGCAACACTTGTAGGCAAATCACAGTTCAAACGATAGTCCGTCGTAACAGTCCAACAGGCAACGTAGAAACGACAAAATGGGGTCACACATCCAACCTTCACTTCTCACCAGCAAAAACGCGTGTTCGTTCACCAAGCTCAGGAAATCTAATCCTCACATAAGCGAAAAACAACGGCTTTTGTTCACCGAGAGATCATTCTGATTGGTCACGCCATTCAGGGGAGGGAAGAACATTAGCATAGATTCTAGTCCTTAACATAGATTTTTGCTAACTACTTTTTGGTAATTTTTCTTCGGTAGATCTCACACAAAACACGAACTCTTTTTCGAGGTAGCTGATTATTTCTTTCACTACAGTATAGCATGTGAATTGGAACTATTTCAAATTCCCACATTTTAAGGTGGAGAAGGGGATAGAGATCAGCTTCTGAACATTAAAAAAAAAAGAGATGAAAGAAAAAAGTCAAAATATTTGTAATGGTGAAAACAACTGAAATATTAGGACGCATCAAAATTATTTTTCCTTTCTAAAGTCCTTTACTGTAAAGTTTATTTCACATACACATGTAAAGAATGTCTATGACAAATAAAACATCAAAAGACTTTTCTTTCGACTAGAATAGTAATAATGTAATAGTACGGACATGGGGTTAACCTTAATCCTCCCCAGGGCAAAGGAGGAGGCAGCTTCTGCTGTAAATGCCTAGGAATTAATCTTTCTTTCATATTAATTATTCTTTTAAAGGAAAGGTGCTGAAAAGTTATCGTTCCGAGTCACTTCCTCAAATCTCATTTTTTAAAAATCCCTTCTTAGACGAGTTGGATTTGTTTGTCTACTCAGTGTGTCTCTACTCGGATGTATGATGATTTGAATATGGGAATATACGACTGGAGATAAAGTAAACGAACTTTATAATAATTTTCATTGCATTTGAAATTAAACGTTGAATATATATATATATATATATATATATATATATATATATATATATATATATATATAATATTTCGACTCATTTAAGTCGAAAATGCTAAATTTTACTGACGTTAGTTGAAATAGTCTCTACAGGTATATCTTACCTTACGTCGGTCATTTGTTCCAGGAGAGGTGACTAAAGTCGAATTTACTTGTTACTAGGCTAAACCACGAATAACCATTCCCAGTTCTGGATTTTATTTATAAATGAATTTTTAATAATATATGGTCAATAAGAATCTGTCTTAAGCTTACAGTTTTTAATATAATACAGAAAAAAAGTAATCTCAGATGTTTTCATATTTCATTCTCTAGGATTTATGATGATTATATTAACATTTACTCGAAATGTACGTATTTTAATATAGGTACCAACATGAGATCGCTGGAAAATGAGCATAGCAGGATAATAACGGTCTTAAACTTGATGAAAATAATTTTTTTATCGTCTAAATGTTTATGTTATTATCAAGAAGAAAAATCAAAGTATTTTTTGATTATTTTTTTTTACATTTTTTAATAATTTCTAGCAAGTCCAAAATTTTCGTTAAGAATCTTGTATTTTTTTGATCAGCAAAATTGACAGAAAATCGATCGTCAGCCATTTTTTTAAACTTTTGTTTACAAAAGTGAAAGTCTCTGTTTATGATTTTATATTCCTTTATTCTTATTATTGTACAGTAACATGATTTTATGTGTTTTTAAAGCTTTTCTAGTGAATACAACTTCAATATTTATGACGTCGGATAAAATGACTTAAACTTGATTTTTATTTTTCCATATATTTTTTGACAAACGATGTATAATCGAGAACGACTTAACTCGAAACGAGGTAACCCAAGCTATACCCATGAAGTAATTTTGGATTTCTCTAGTATATAATTTATATGCTCTGTTATAATAAATACATTGAGATCTTTTTGTGGATCAGTTTTAATATTTTATATTATTAGGATCCACTTGGATAAGGATAGTGGGTAGATCAAGGTAACTGGAGATGTCGATTGACATTACATTTGAATAGTTGGAGATTATAGCTTTCAGGGAAACAGTAATTGGGGAGGGTGTTCCACTGGCGAGAGGTGCGAGGTATATATATATATATATATATATATATATATATATTCAATGTTTAATAAAAACGTTAAATTTCAAATCAACACGGTATCCACAAAATGTACCCTCTTTTTAAATAACAATAAATGCACTATTTATTGAATTGCAAACAAGATTAATGATTACAATTTAAAAAATATAAATGTTTATCGACTTACAAAGAAGAAGGATTTAAATTAAATATTAAATGAGATTAAATGCATGAATGTGAAAAAAAGATAAAAATATAGGAAGAAATCAAAAAGTGAGTACATTTTTGGGGACACCCTATATATCTATCTCTATATATATATATATATATATATATATATACATCTATCTACCTATCTACATCTCTCTCTTTCTCTCTCTCTCTCTATATATATATATATAAAAACGTATTTGTCATCATATAAAACGTACATACACCATAAAAATATTACTCTGTGTCCTATAAGCTTGTATTATGGATGTTAGGTTGGTCAGTGAAAGCCAGTGTTGTATATTTATGATATGGGAAGGAATTATACATCAAATCATTTTTGTTGGTGTTTTTTGATAAGGCGTTGTGGCAATAATATTATTTTTTAGATATCCGGTATTAATTATAGTTTTCTGCGCAAAGCTTATTAATAGGTACCTTCCCAAAATTTGAACAGTGGCCATTAATAGGTTAACAGACACACTTGACCAGCATCGCATTGTCTTCTATTCCCTTGCATAGGGTTTGACCCCGGATATTAACTCTGCATCCAGTAACTCTACCTTCATTCTTAGCTAAACTAAGGGGGACAACTCTTTTTTATTCCCTATGGATAGACAAATTACTACATTATTTTGTAACTTCTTGCTGCCATGTAAGAATTTAGAGCCATCAGCTGGACGACAAACCCTCACTTGATTCGGCAAGACGCTGTCAGGTACCGCTGTTTAAGTCCTATAAAAAAAATGAGGATATTTTCCTCTTCATTTCTCCTAGCAGTTGCGTAGCAACACCAACACAGCACTCGTCCCGTGTGACAGAATCTGTCCACACACACACACATGTGCGTACCACACGCATTTCTTAACAGATTTAATGTATTTCCTTAATTTTTAGGTGGGTACTCATTTGTGTAATTTTCTCTTTTTGCTAACCTTTTTCTTTTTCTTTTATTTATTCAGTTAGCTTCATTTTGCACTCGGGATGAACAGGTTAACCTGTCCCTCCTCTCAGAAGTTAAAAAGGCAAGACCTACAAGACAGCTTGTGGTTTGAATTCAAAGTTTTCCTTCTTCTTCTAGAATGGTTGTCAGTCAAAGCTAAAGGACTGAATCTGTCCTGCTATTTTACCCATAGCTGGAGGGAAACGATGAATTCATACCTTTCCTAAGGGTATTATCTCATAAGTGAATGAATGAACACGACTGAAATTCGAACTCAGTTCTTCGATTCCTCAATTCGAGCTGCTATCCACCATAATCCTTTATTAGTTTGTGCAAAAATACAAGAAAAGATCTTCGATTAGAAATTCATTCCTACTACTCAATCCACATTTATTCCATTTTACCCTCTGCAAATAATGATAACCCGTCATTTAGTGAATGTGAATATTTTGGTTGCCTCTACTTTTAGTTAAGCTAGAACAAATATTCGCAACAAGCAACGGTGTGATTGCTCATCTTCCGAGCTTGGCTGCTCATCTTCCGAGCTTGGCTGCTCATCTTCCAAGCATGGCTGCTCATCTTCCGAGCTTGGCTGCTCATCTTCCGAGCATGCTCATCAGCTCAGGCTCATTTATGTTTCTACAACGCTCACAGAGCCAACCGATGGGTTATATTGCAACTAGCTTAGTTACAGTTAAAATATTTGCCTTGTTAGGTTACACAGAGTTTTGAATTCAGAGTTTTTCTTCTCCAGATTGGTTGCAAATCACATCCAGATGAGTGAAGTTTTCAACAAAATCAATGATTTTTTTAAGTGTTTGTTATTAAAGTAAGGCCATTTTAGTTAGAGAATCTGAAGCCAATTTGTTGAAGTAGCAAATGTTGGCCTTACAATATACTCTATTGCCTATTTCATATAGCCTTAAAATTTCTCTGTAATTGGTCAAATTTCAAAATTTACTTAGGGGTTTGCAGCGCTCAAACCGTCAGCTGTGTGGGATCGTTGAACTCGCCAGAATCTATTCATAACCTACATTTTGGCAGTCGAATTTATTGTTGCTAGTTGCAAAGGGGCTCGCCATATCGGTTCAAGCTTCCGCCTCCAAAAAATCAATCTATCGAATAATACGTCCGACAAGGCTTACCAATATTCGCAGTGTTCGGACAGTTGATAATAGTTTTACCAAGTTGACGAAATCTCGTATTACACACAGTCACAGGAGGTTGAAAGTTTTTTGTGTGTAGTCATTAAATCAAATAGAAGTGAGAAAGATTTCTCTGACGCAGTTTCCTTAAGAAGCCATAACAAAAATCACCGACACTAAAATGGTGCAAAAACACAGCACGTTCATTTTCTGTCTTAATGTCTTTTGCAATGGCGCAGTGCGTTAAACAGTTTTGTTGGTCTGTCCAGAGCTGACGGCCGCATCACATTGAAACACCAGTTCCCATAAGATTACCGAAGTTAAGCAACGTCAATCTTGGTCAGTACTTAGATGGGTGACCGCTTGGATATGTGGATAGTGTAATGGATAATGGCTCGAAACTATTAATCGGAGAGCCGAGTTCCAATTCCAGTTGGGTTCATTACATTCACTTACGCGCAAATACTCTTGGGAAATGTATGGAGCCACTTCTTCTCCCCCAGCTATAGGTTAATTAGTAAAACTTGTATCAGTAAACCATTATTATTACAAAAGATTTACTGGCGTTAAATAACCTGATAAGCTGAGTTGATAAGCTGCCGAAAAGCGAATCAATCAGTCAATTATAAATCCTGCCAAATCACGCCATTTTTTGTGTAATTTATAAAAATGCACACTAAGTCTTCGTGGAACAGTCTCCCAAAGAAATGCTTCCCCAAACACGATAATCTTAATCTCTTCAAGTCTCAGTCAATGGTCATCTATCCTTCATATCCTTATAATCTTCATTTCCTACTCCCTCCTCTGATGTTCATATCAAACACTTCATTCTGTAACCCTCTATCTTGAGGGGCTCTTGGGTCTTGATTTGAGTGAGCTTTAATTAAAAAGAAAAAGGGCTCACGAATCAATTATTTCATCGGTGGAAGATAGAATGAATAAAGAATGATTTGGGACGCTAATTTCTAATTCCCTTTGCCAATTTACATGGTAAATTTTTTTTATCATAAAGTTTCGGTAGAATATAAAAATATTATTTAAACTAATGGCAGGAGACTCTTATTCCGAATATCGGTTTTACGAAATATCTTCTTGGAAACTAATTACTTGATCCTTAAGACATATTAGAAATAGAAATCAATATCGAAATATCGATCTAATTAAATCGAAAGACAGCAATCATTACCAACCGAAGTACAATGAAAGGTCAAGAGTGGCTAGACGAGTGATAGTTAGATTAGCCATTCGTTGTCTGAGTCGAATACTGAAGCGATGTAATAAACTTCTGTTGTTTTGTTGTTATTTGTTGGCGATGAATGTTGTTAACGTTCTTTCACTCAAGCTAAATTTTGATGTGCCTTGACGCTTGACATTTCTTTTGTCTGGATGGGGTAATGTCCTTTTAATACATTTTGCTTATGTGAGAAGTATCGCGTCTAATGTTAATAACTGAAATCAATGTTTGCAAAGAAAAGTCGTCTAAAGGGCCCAGTTCTGAACCAAAATAAATAAATAAATACAATTTGTCGGTTTCAAAAACAGAAATTTAATCCAATTGTTCCTGTTTTCTCATCTTTGTTGAATATATTCTATGATCAGCCATACCTTCTTTTCATATCGTAATTTTCTTCACAAATTCTTTCTCTCCTTCTCCTCTCTTCCACCCTACTTGGTCCAAGGGCCCGTGAACTTCTCCTTTATGACCCGACGCGAGAATGACCTGGTTCAAAGATTTCGCGGTTGACCATGATGTTATATTCAGGGCACCATCAGGGTCTCCTGCTGCGATTCACGTGATCGGAACGTACGGACATGTTGAACTTTTGGCCATCCACACAAGCACTGCGTGATTTGCGCCCTTTATCCTCCTGGGTACCCGGTCAAAAACGAAGGGAACCCACGTGACTGTCGTTTGGGGACAGCGAAAACCAAAAAGTCGATTTTTTTTTTTCCCTCTGACCAGCGGCAGTTGAACGTCGCTGGGCAAAAATCGTCAGACCGCCCACTGAGATGAGGAAGACAGCAAAGTCTGTCGACTAGTGTCGGAAGGACTGCTAGGGAACTGGTCGACCCAACTAAATGCCTGTATGAAATGCTGTGGACCCTCGAACACTTGCGAAAAGAACAAGAATCCAGGAACATTGTCGACCGGCCAAGATACTGTTTTATCATCAGAACTCTCGCTTCGGCGAATCAAAACTTTATGTGAAGATATCAACCCGACTGCAAGATAAGTTGATTCGTTTGGCTTACATCTGTTTTCATATATGTATGTATTCGCTCGCGCCTTCTATTCTTTAATGATGTCCTCCCCTTTTGTTAAATTAATGTTCTTTTTTTTTTCTTTCTTTACTCCGTTATATATATATTATAAATAAATGTTTTATTTTGAAATCCATCGTCTTGTGTCTGTTCTTCGTTGATTCCCTTGTGTCGCTTCCATTTCTGAGTGAAGACCGAAAAAAACTTACCACGTTTTCCTTTTTTTTTGACCAGAACCCGTGGTTCATCTATATGCTACAAGTTCGTAACAATATATATATATATATATATGTGTGTGTGTGTGTGTGTGTGTGTGTGACGTGTGTGTGTGTGTGTGTGTATTTTTAGATTCTGCCTCTTATATATGTAGATTAAATATAATTTTCCCTTTTGTTTATTAGACTTCAAGATAATAATATATCAAAATTCACGCTTCCAGTGATTGATTAGGTGTTTCGAGTTCATAAGATTATATAAGTTTGTGTTTTTGGCTCTCTATTTTCAAGATACATTTCTAAAGGGTTCTATTGTCTCTTTCAAAAATGTATATTCTTTGGTTTCTTTATTTGGATGCTATAAAACTGATCTTAAATAAATGTTTAATTTTGAAATATTGTTAATATCTGTTCTTCGTCCATTCCCTTTTTGTATTGCATTTCTCATCTGTAATGTTCAAAACAGTTTATAACCCGAGATCTATGTTTCTCTATATATATATAGAAATCAAATAATATAAAATCTATCATATACAGATGGTATATATATATAAAAAAAAACCATTAATTTAAATGATCTCTAATTATTTTTATATAACATTTTTGGATACAATTCGCATATATAATCTTTGAAATATTTAGACCCCTTAAAATATATTGAGGATTGATATATATACATATATATAGATAATTCTGTATATATCCATATATATATATAGATGGCAGTTGATAGATAAGATTATTCAAGATTCTTATAAAGTATATATATATATATATATTGATGAATATATATATATAACCTACAGATTCATTTACTCAAATATAATATTTTAATCATTGATCTGAATAAATATATATTGTATATATGGTAGTTTAGATATTTCTGAACGAGCTGAAAACCATACATGATATATATATAAGAATCTAGCTATACGATTTCTTTAACATTATGACTCATATTTTCAGGTTAATGTTTTTGGTTTTAGAGCAATTTATATGTTGGGAGAAACTTCTCTATAGATATATTGATATATATATACTATAAAATATTTTGATATATCTTTTCCATAATGCAAAAAGAAATTGGCCTTATATATAAATATAAAAAAACGTTTCAATAACAACAGACGATTTTACATATTATATGCATCAAAATAAACGGAATAAATTGATCAACTATATGGGGATTTTGTATATAATAAAATATATTTTGAAAGACCAAAAATTGCAGTAAAATATCGAATAAGAAAAAGAGTGGGCTGCTTTTGGAAATAATACATTATTTTGTAAATCATAAGCTATATATGTAATCAATATAATACCAGTCCATAGTAAACGTATATATATATTATATATATATATTGTAAATATATTAACTCCTCCTTTAGTTCGTTAACCCTTTCACCAATATCTCACTTCCCTATATATATAAATATATCATGACCCTTAAATATCTTTCTCTTTTATATATTATAACGAGTTTTCAGCCTTATATATACCTCATATAGATGTGAACGCTCACAGAAAAATCATTTCCCAAATGCTGGGAACACTGTAAGCACAATATCACGTACGTATGAACACTCACCACACACATATATATAATATTCAATACACTCTGTCCATGTAACTTATTATAATCTATATATTTGTATACATATATTTATCGGTCTTGTGTTTTGTTTTTTTGGCCTTCTTCTTTGGACTTAATTAAAGTCCAACTTTCTCCATATATACACCGGCTAGCAGGAAAATCTTAACCCCACATGTTTTCTTACTACTTCTATATATACAACATCATACGACATTATCCTCTACATATATATATATATATATATTCCCAGTTGTTTTTAGATGGGAAATCGGCTCAAATTGAAACATTCTAAAATTTATCATCACAAATTATATATTATATGATGGACAAATTAAAAACAACCATTCTTAAAATATATAATAATTTATATATATCCATATCTGATCTCCTCCATAGTAAATGTTTTAAACTATTTGGACACATTAAAAATATCTAATGTATAGTTTGTTAAATTATGTATCGGAATATATATATATATATGTAATAAAAAAAATATATAACTAAAAACACAGGTTGAAGGATAAAATATATTCTGTGGTCATCAACTAATGAATGGCAGATACTAAATAAATTCATTCCAGATCATAATAAATGGCATGAAATATAATGCTAGAAAATTAAAAGGCCGCATATGGGAATCAGAACGTCAACAGACTGAATAATCAAATTAATTCAATTTTAATAATTAAATTTATAATTAAAGCTGATTTCAAAAAAAAGAACAATTATAAAAACTTTTTTTTCGTTTGATTGCTTTTTCTGTAAACCTGTTTTTTTTATCTTTATTGTCATTTCAATCGACGTTTCGGCTGAAAGTACCAGCCTGCTTCAGTTGATATAAAAAACATTCTTACTTGAAATAAAACTAGTTGATTGATGGTAATCCAACATTTCCCAAATAGTTGTGACACAATACCTGGTCTACAGCATTTATAAAAATTTATCTTGAGTTACTCCAAAACTATTTTTTTTCCTTCCAGAAAAAAACAAATGGCACGTGGAAACGGAACAATTTAAAGATTTTCAAGATGTCAAATTTAAAAATCGGTTCAAAATTCATCAAAATGTATTCAAAATTGTACTATCAGACAAAATCTACTATCAAGTCTTCCGTTGCTAATCATTCGGGTTCGTAATAAAAATTTAAACAACAAAATATACAATGTTCAATACATCATCCCAGGAATAAAGACAGATTGGACGCCAAAAAAAAAAAAAAAACTAATAATCCGATTCAGTTGTTTTCACTTTTGGTTTGTCTCTCTCAATGATATTTTTCATCTTCAGTGGGGCTGTTTG